AAATCTAGCAGTTTTTCAGAAATCACTTGGGTTTTTTCCAGGCACAACCTACAGTTCAGGGGCTTTCTTGGATTAAGGATAAAGCAGTCTCCAACAGAATCATTAACCATCTTTTACAAGCTCATTTTGTCGAAGTTATTTCATTTGTGCATCATACCTCCTTTGCTACTTCTAAATAGTTCTCACCAATCGGCACAACAATTTCTTTGATCCATGACACACTGAAAACAAAAAGAATTCAACAAGTATATAACTGATTACTGATAATGTTTGGAGAAAATTGATGTTGGTGACTGCAATTGGGACTTGAAGGGTTAAAAAGAGAACTAAATAGTTCAGCATTAGCCATCTACCTTTCAAATGCTTCTAGGGTGTAACTGATTAGTGGCCTTCCCATAATGCGATAAAACTACAAGATAGGAAAATTGAATTGTAAGCACCTAAATTAATTTTCACTTTATCTAAATATTTTAATAGTATATTCAACAAAAACTTTGACACTGTCTTTTAATTAAAAAAAATAAACTGGTTTTTCGCGTCAGATCGACAAAACGTCACTCTCGCGTGGGAGGGTCATTTACTTTTGCCCTATAGTACACCGACACCGTCCCGAGAGCCAGAGCGTTAAATTCGTCCGGTAAAAGCTCATGCGTGTATGACACATGAAACCCAAAGACAACCCCCGACGGTGTCGGTTTGCGATAGGGCAAAGAAGAACAACCCTCCCCCGCAAAGGTGACGTTTTGTCGATCTGACGCGGTTGCTAAGCTCCAAGGTTCGAATCTCGTAGGATAACGGTCAGATTACGCGCCATGGCGAAGCGAAGCTGGCCAGAATTGATGCATGCAGCGCTCCTCAGGTTCATGCAGGCTAATTTAGAAACTGGCACTCATCGAACGGGTAGATATACACTCTTTGGTGTCGCTGGTGGCAATTTTAGAGAGATCAGTTGCTTTGTTTGGAATTTATTGGCCTTTGCATGGTGAGGGTCGGTTGGAAGGTCTCCAGCCTTCCCTTCTTTTCTAGTGTTCAATTCTCGATGGAAAGAAAGTCAACTAAACAGTGTTTAAACCGGCCGTAGGACACAGAGTGGCTATGAACTAAAGGTAAGGGAGCTTTTTGAATCAATATTTTGCATGATCATGACTTTTTTTTCCTAGCGTTGTAGATTCGAATGCATGTGATAAAATTCGAACAATAAGGGCCCGAATCACATGTAATAATGTAAGAAATATCGACCTTCGTAAGTAAGTAAGTAAGTAATAACTTTATTTAACGAGGGTAAAGACATTGATTACTGGTCACCCAGTAGTTTTCATAATGGCCCTCCTACAATTAAAGTAATAAAATGTATCGATTAATCAATTAACTACCTATATAATCTACCAACTAAAATTACATAATGAACTGCTATTAATACAATATTGATCAACTGACAAATAATGAAACTAAAAGGTTTTACAAATCTTAAAATGATCAAGAAAAGAAATCATACTGCGGTAAAGTTTAAATAAGTAATTTTTAAAATTACCTTCGTTACCTTAAAGGCCACTAGTATCTATTTTGCATTTATTTGGCATCAGATAATACATTAATAATTCTAATAAATAATGACCTCTGAAGCCCGAACCCAAACATAGTGCGCTTGGGCTGCCTGTGGCCACACCTAAAGAAACAGGATTCTGGTGCCAGTTTTAAGGAGCATTTTCTTAAATTTTCTGACCAACATTCCCGTAATTATTTTCGGGGATTCCCCTCTTGCCTTCCCTGCCTCCCATGGAAGCCATAATTCCCATATGCCCTTCCTTACTAAACACAGATTCAAGATTTTACAGGGTATATTTCAGAACTGAAAAAAAATATATTCCAAAGACATTTGACAGATGTTTGCCAAGGTAATCAGCTCCTTTATCTGGTCATTGTTCACAGAGACTCGACTAATATCACTCACTCTAAGTATTGCTTTGCTAAAACAACCTTCGTTTTCAAGCGGCATAAATTATCAGCCGACGTACTACAATGACTATAAAGAGATTTGCTTTCCACCGACGATATAAGCTTACATGTAGAAGTCTCTTTCTTGCCTATTAGCTTGTAAAAGTTTATGGACAATGATTTAAGACTTAATAAGGCTGACTTTCATGCGTATATGTAAGTGTCGGAATGTTTTACGATGTGTCCACTTGATAAGTTCTCAGCTAAAAATATCTTTTTTGGTATAAATCTATTCTATACCTGCTTAGGAATCTCAAGATTCATTCTCACACCACATCCTCCTGCTGGTAAAACAGCCACAACATCAAAGCATACGTCTTCAACGACGTCTTCAACAAGATCGTCTCCAGAAGCCGCCATTTTGGTTGATGGAAACTCTTTATCAGGTCTCCTCGGTCTCCTCGACCAAAAGTGGGCGTAACAAGGGAGTGGTTACTGGATTGATAAAACACTAGATCGGATCGCTGATAACGGGATTACGGATTGGCTAGGAAGGAATGAGGAAATATACGCTTTAACAAAGCAGCGCCTTTACAAAGCCTACGCCCTCGTACCATAAAAGTACAGAAGGTGAGGGTAAAAAAATTTAAGTCCAAACAGGAACCCATGGTTATGGGCTCCTGGTCCAAATTACCCGATGGAACGCAATGTCCAAAGGCTGGTTTTGCCATCCAAAAATTTATCCAGACAGAAACTGCGGAAAACAAAGAGTAATTCATAATTCTTGACTTACAGCAAGACCACATTCTCTCTTGCTTACAGTCAATAATTTCAAAGGGGTTATTTTTCTGTTAAGGAAGAAACTCAAGAACTCCTTGCTCTGCTACGATAAACAAAATAAAGAAAATGGGCTGTATACTTTTAATCCAATCTCAAAGGTGATATTCTGCGACAATCTGCGATATTGACTTCCTGAAATATCGAACAACAGCTAATAAATAAATAGATGATATCCTTTGTTTACCCTTAGCGTGAGGCCGAGCAAAATGCCGGAAACGCTGAACAATTCAAATCAAACTAGGCCAGAGGCAAACCAGCTGGCTATTTCAAGCATGGCCGAGGATTTGAACTCGGGACCTCCGAATTTCAAGTTCAACGCTCTAACCGCTCGGTCACGCTACCTGCTAACTACATTCTAAGCGGAGTGCTCGTTTTAAATCTCACTTATTTTTATTCTTAGCTTTAGCTTTTTTAAAGAAGCACTTGGAAGGCCTCTGTAGAATATCTTTAACGATGATTATTTCTGCCTTCAGTATTATTTTTAAGCTTCAACTTGTCTGTGTGAGTAGCAGTTTCAGTAATTAAATCTCAAATAGCATGTAGCCTATATATGTACAGATAGGCTACTATCAGGGTCATAAAAACATGCTTCAGTTACATAGCAAGGAAAGACCAACACTTAGACAATCCTGTATGAGCTGGCAATATTTAAATTAAATCTTCATTTAGTAGGCTCTCTGTGATTGGTCAATGTATTAGGAAGCTGCTTGAATCGGAGGGCTTGATATAGCCTTCCTGTTTTGCTTTTCTCGCCTGATTTACAATGGGCAACTTTATAGTTGAAACGTCGACCAACATCACGTTTCTCCTGACAATATGAGAAAAGCTTACAAGAATTTTAAAAAATAACAAAGGGAAAATGCTTTGATCTTTTATCAAATTCCATCAGCTAATTCTTTAAGGTGATGTATGGAGATCAATAAGGAGAATTTGTACATGGATATTGTGGATTGGACCTATCTAATTACCGGTAATTAGGGCTGATGGGATTTGGATTATGAGAGGCTCTTTAAAGAGTGCAAAACACCAGCGTCACGAAATACATATCGCCATATCATTCTCTTAGATCAGCTCCATTATTATTTTTTTGTAATTTTCTAAAAAAAAGAAGTTTTAAAAATGAGTAGGAGGAAACCAGCCATGGATGGATCGAGAACTATAACCGGAGCAGTAGTTTTTCCACGCTGGACGCCGAGCCTCTCCCTTCGCTTCTCTCCCCTCGTCCGCGTCCAACCTGGAGAAACCACTGTTCGCAGGGTAATTCTCGATCCACCCATGGCTGGCTTACTCCTTTTCATTTTTAAACTTCTATTTTTAGAAAATTACAAAAAAAAAATAACAATTTCAGGATTTATTGGAAGAGAAAAGAGAACCGGAAAAAGAAATAAGAAACTGAATTTTTTTTACTGCAGTTTTATTTATATGTATATTTTAAACTTACAAGTAGCTTCATGAAATGGAATTGGAAAAAAAAAAAACTAGAATCTGGAGTTCTGGAATTCTGCTCAAGGTATCCGGAATACCGCTAACGATTGAATCCGGAATCCACCGGGAATCGGCAGTATCCACCAATAACATAGAAAACCTCACGGGTCCTCTAGTTTTGTAAAAAAAGTTAAGCAGATGAAACATGCAGATCCTACTTGATTTATCCAGAATGAACTTAGTTGATTCATGGCTAAAGCGCTGAGTATCAACCAAGTCTTGAATTTGCTTGACACTGGTACTACATACAACGCATAACGCATCGTGACTACCTTTGAAAGCAGTAATCCGCTACTTGGGCGCGGTCGGATATCACTTATTGTAAATACAACACATATCGTATTGTTCCCTTTTTACGATTCGTCATGGCGGTGACCTCTCATTGACCACTTTTGTTAAATTACATTGTATTGTGTGTCGCTACGATTGCGGAATAATTACAACTCCTGAATCTTAGATCACTTACTACCCTATCTTGCTGTTTAGCGAACGCTTGCTAAAATATTACACGTAATAGAAGCGAAAGACCAACAATGGCTAGTGAAGACTGCCTCCAGGTGAGTAACAACAATGATATTTTGTGCTTTTAATTTGGTGATTTATTTTGCGACGGAACGCTTTAACGTGAGCCCAGACGTTAGCCACTACAATTCCATCGAAAGCGCACCTAGTTTACAATTAATGCTGTGCACGGCGGTAAATCAAAATCTGCAAAAGCCCGTGCGACTAAATTAATGTAACTTATCGAAATGACTTGACGATTCAATGGTACATGGAAAATATAAGGTATAAGAAGACAGCTTCCCTGTGGCTTGCACGCTTCAGTGATGAATAAAGGTCATACTAATCATTCTACGTTCCAGTAAAACAGAGTAAAAGGATAACTCCATTGCCAAAGACTGACTGATCTTGGAAACTTAGTCTTTCTTTTCATGCTTTGCCAGCTGTAGAATCAGTTGTCTGGTGTCGTTAAAATGTTGTAAAATTTTCTTCCTCTTTCTAGCTGTTAACCCTTTTGTGTTATGATATTATTTCTGAATGCACCATATTACCGCCCCAAAGGTAGCGACTAACTCCATGTCTTATTAAAAAACGGCTACCTATCCATCGGAAAACTTTTATACCAACCTTGTGAAAGCCACTAACCGAAATACTAATATAATGGCTACTTTGGATCGGAATATCCAGCAATCAAATACCGGTTAGATCGGGTTTCAATACGCACACTCCTTCAAGCAAGTCTAAGGCTCACGTTGTGTTACATGGAAAAGGCAATATTTGCGCTTTGCCCGATTATTCCAAAAAATAAAAAAAAAATCGATAGCCTTTTTTGCCTTAAAATTCTTGACACCATCTGTTGCGGCAGGAACGCGTGACAAAGCTCTAAGACCGTCTGCGTGGAAGGCAAAGACCAGAAGGATGTTTTCAATGCAGAACTGTATAATAGCAATAGGAGGTCTTCCGTAAACAGCTTTAGCTATGAATGATCTTTTTCAAAACAGTTTGCAGTCTATTTCTGTCCTTTTATCCTTAGGCAGGAGCCTTTCTTAAGATTTCCTGAGATTTCGCAGATTTTTCACGTAAATGTGTTAGTGGAGTCAGGTTTTGTGTCATGTACTGCAACTTATTCTTATCAAAATGTGACCATCCGCACATTTTTGGGATCTTTTTCATCCAACTTTCTGGATAATGACACTATATCCGGAACGCTTTTGCATGTTACAAAAAAGGCCTTTCGCTGGATCACTCGTAATGAACTTTCAGACTGGCAATTCATTTCTAAGAAATCGTTTTATTAGGGATAATAAAGGATATAGAAAACTTTCTGGTCAATCTAAAGAGACATATCCTGCGAGAAGGGGCTTATGGTGTATTTCCGGCATGGCTTTTAGGAGTTAGGAAGCCCTTCTCGTCGCTGCCAGTCGCGTAGTGTTTTGTTGAAACTTTCCCTCCTCCGTCCAAGATAAAGTTGTCTCTCCATCATCCCCTCCAAGCAATGTTGTGTCACTGTTCAAAACACAGGCACCCCAAGCTCAATATGAGAGTACGTGCGGTTGCGTAATTTTCAAAATGGTCGTCAACATAAAGGATTTGTATGGGAATTCAGGCAATAGATTCGAGAAATAAATACTCGCAGTTATTTTCAATGAAACAAGCTTTAACTTATTTACTTGGTGTGTTCCTGCTTCCTGTGTGGTTATTTTGCCCATCGGTTGCGATTTAAGCGATTTCCTTTATCCCGAGTTTGCACAAGAGGAAATAGCTTAAATCGCGACGGATCGGGAAAAAAACCACACAGGAAGCAGGAACACACCAAGTAAATAAGTACTGTCATTTATTGTGACTAAGAAGATCGATTTCAAACTCTTCGATTTGACTTCTATAATTTTTCTTTGTTCCACAGGAGGAAACAAATGCAAGGCGTAAAAACGCCTTGGGACTTTCTTATGTCATTGATGAATGCCCACCATGGTATCTCAGTATTGTCCTGGGATTTCAGGTAACCTCGGCGGTACATAAGCAACTAAAACCAATCGAGACACGACACATCACCACGTCATGGCCATATCTTACGCATGGGCCCAGCCATGCGACCATCCCTTCTCGTTCCCAAACCCCTTGTTGCCTTAAGCTGGTAAGGAGCCGTTCCTTATCTGGTGGAGCGGACAAGAGACAGTTGATGCTGATCAAAGGATCGCAGCATCTGGGATCGACGTAAGAGATGTGTCGTATCTCCGTCCGTCTCCCGAATCTCGCCGCCTTGACAACGGCGTGCATGAGTCCACACCGAGACAAATGACAAAAACATACAGAAGTTTTTTTTTTTATCTGTTTTGCTCCCGGGGGAGGGGGTACTTTAGGAATTTTTGGGTGGGGGTATGCCGTTGGGACCCTGGAACCCTTAGCCTCCACCAGAGCTAGTTCAGCTGAAATTTGCTAACTTTTTCTAGAGTAAACTCCCTAAATCCCCCCTATCCTATAGTAGCTTTTAGGCTGAGTTGCGTAAATTAAATTTGCCGATTTGATTTTTTTATATTTTTGAGTGGCAATTCCACGTTTCCCTAGTCTAGACTAAAATCTTCAACCAATTGATCAGTTTCCAGGAAAATAATACCCTATTCTAGACCGAAACTCTCTGATTTATATATCCTATCCCAGAGTAAACAGCTTAAAAACCATACCCTTCACAGCGGCACAGGCCCATATATGGCATTTCCCCCCCCCCCGGGGGGGGGGGGTTTGCTACGGTTTTTCTTTGAGTTTATCGCTTTCATTCGCTGGAAATCGAAATTTTACATGTAATTGTAACGTTCAACTGCACTTGTGAGTCTTTACAGAACGCCTCGTAAATGTCATGGTGTGCCGCCGTTCGACCAAACACAATGTTGTTAAAGACAGAATTAAATTAGCTTGCTAGCAACCCCTCCATATTTGGGGGAGTCGCGAGAAATCACGCGAGAGCAGCACGCGAAAGGAGATCTTCGCCACTCGCACGCGCGTCCTTTCGCGGCTCGCTTCGTTCGCTATCAAAGGCGAGCTGGCTCGCATGCTTATATTAAATTGTTCTTTTCATTTTTTAGCATTACTTAACCATGTTTGGTTCAACGCTGGCCATTCCTCTTGTATTAGCAAAGCCAATGTGTTACGATCAGAATCCTCTGGCCACCAGTGAGATAATCAGTACTATATTCTTTGTTTCTGGCCTCTGTACTCTTTTGCAAACAATCTTTGGAAACAGGTAAGAGGTATCATAGAACAGCTTATCGATGTTGTTTTTTTTTGCGTTGTTTTAGTTTCGATTTTCGCCGTTCTCTCGGACTCGGTCATGCTCCTACACGAGAAGAGGGAGGGGAGGAGCGAGACTGGGCTCATTTTCCGAGAAAAGTAACAATGTGACAAATGTATATGAAATAAATCGCTTCCATCCATAGTTTGCCATTATCGTCATTAAGCTGAAAAGTTCTTCATTTAGGGCCTATTTATATGGAGGTGAAGGACCCCAGATAGGTGAGGTAACATTTGGCGGGTCACCCCACCTATCATGTAAACGTGATCAAATTAAAATGACAGATTATACGAACAGGAGAGTTACCTCAAATACCTTGGGTCCCCCACCTTCATGTAAACAGGCCCTTAATGTTGTCTAGAGTAAAGAAACTTCACCGTGATTTGTTACACTGGTAAATTTTATCACTTGTTTGCCCCCTGAGAAAACACGTGACATAGCTTTTATCCCATCAGTCATTAAGCGCGTGCAAAGATGGCGAGTATCGTGAATAACACTAATGAATGTACATCGCTTAGCAGCTCCTCTTATCCTAAAAAGTATGAAAGTTGTTACGTGCAAGAACACAAAGGTCTCTTGTAGCCTGCGAGCAAGCTCTCCGGGGTGCTCTGGCGGCAAGGCGGGAAAAGGAAGGAAAGCTTACAACTACGTTTCTGGAATTTGAATATCTGTATCGAAAAAGTCGATGCGAAATGCCGATTGGCGGAGATGACATTAGTAATGACGTCATTACCCTTGCCACAAGTTTTTCAATGTTTGCTCACATTCGCGCTTGTTTCCGCCTCGCGCTGATTGGCGGAAATCTGACAGCTCAGTCGACGGGGAGCCACAGGGGGATTGGAGGTGGAATTGAAATTCCAGAGACGTGGAATTCAAATTCCAGGAACGTAGTTGCAAGCTCTCCTTCATTTTCCCCAGCCGCCGCCAGAGCCCCCCGGAGAGCTTTCTCGCACGCTAGTTCTCTTGGTAAGGGAGAAGCTTTTGAGGCTTAAAAGTCCTTCATTTCTTGGTTATCGTTTTTGCTAATTCTCATCTCTCCATTGCCCCCACCCTCTTAGCGGGGGAAATAATTCTGAGACTATACAACTCGTGTGAGACCTTAAGTTCACTTACAATTCGAGAAACCATAAGGATTTTATCACTTGCCGTTTCTAACTGCAAGTAGAGGGAAAGGCTCCTTGATTTTAAATAAACAGAAATCGCCATTCATTTAGTCAAGTCTTTTTTGAATTTCATTATTACAGTCTTATGTTCAAACTCTCTTGCCTCACTCAGGCTTCCCATTGTGCAAGGCGGCACCTTCTCGTTCCTTACTCCAACCATTGCTATTCTCAGTCTTCCTAAATGGCAATGCCCATCATCCTCTGCACCGACAATGACACCAACAGGTAACATACGCATAGAGCGGTTTTCACTTGACTGTCGTAAAACCAAAACCAAAGTAAATACACTAGCCAACCAAAGGGCGTAGTAAAACCAAAACCAAAACCAAAACTAATCCCTTTCGACAGTCAAGTGAAAACCGCTCTACTACGCCCTTTGGTTGGCTAGTGTATTTACTTTGGTTTTGGTTTTACGACAGTCAAGTGAAAACCGCTCTATACTGATCCAAGATTTGTTATTACGAAATGTGAACAAAGTATGGAAATGCTTCTAAAGCGCAAACTACCTGATCTGAAGCAAGCAAGGGTCTTTATTTTATTTTAGCAGCTTTTATGAACACAGGCCTGCCCAGAGGGAATGGGCAAGAAGGGGACTCATGTCCCATTCGAGGTGCCATCCCTACTCAATCCCACAACAGGGTTGACCACACCACCGGGGTCTACGTCCCCTACTCTTTTCGAACAGTGGTGTGGGTTCTTTTATGTCCCACGAGAACAGATTATTGAAAGTGCTGTGAGACGGGACCTACGGTCTCTCGTCCTTATCTCGAGGAGAGAGAAAAATGACCCGACGGACTTCCTATCACGCATGCTCTGTCGTTTCTTTAACAACCAGTTGCGTGTAAGTCACGTGCGTCAGAACGTACAAAACCTCTGTTCGCAATAAAAATGTGAGCCTAGAAATTTCCTCTGTATAGTCTTTACAGGGGCATACAAGATTCCGATTAACGTTGATGTTGTCAGAATATAATCGTGAGGCAAAGTGTTGCTTATGACGGAAATTTACAGTTAAGATGATGACGATGCTAGCGCTTGGGACGACGGTGATCAACCATATTATTTATAGAGATTTGGAGTCTCGTTTACGGCAAACGGCAGACGGCAAACGTGAATTTGTGCCTTATGACCAAGTTAAGGTTTCCCCTTATTTGTCAAAAAACACGTAAGTAGTTCGACGTCGTTTTCAGCCATTAGAATTGTTATAGACTGTTTTTGTCTGCTCATTTTCTATTTTGAGAAATTCTCAAATTGAGTCTGACGTTTGCCGTAAACGCTACTCTAAATCTCTCTAATTACGGCATTTTTGTGGCGATGACAGAGACCAAAACGCTGAAGTTGATGTTATTATTATTATTATTGTTATATTTTTCAGATGCAAACGTGTCCACTAACCTGCCAACAACTGTCTTCACTGATGCATGGAAACCACGAATGAGAGAGGTAATTGCATCTTGTAATGTTCATTTTACAACTGAATTGGTTACTGAACGGCACATCCGGGGATATATAACAGAACCGTCCAATGAGGCCTTTGCATTTGCAGTTGATCAGTCACGTGGTACGAAACCTCTATGCTGGGAGGCAAGACTAACACACTGAAACAAAGGAGTACCATTTAACCTGCCGTTATCTTCTTTTTTTACACGGAAATAAATAGAGGATATTACAAGGCTGCGCGGAGATACGAAATTTCTTTTCTCTTGTTGAAGAACTATTTCACTCGTTCGCGCCTATTTATCATATAAACACCAATGAAATACCAAACCATTTCACTGTAGTAGATTTTGGCTGTGAAAGGCGCGATTTAATATGTAGCCATAACAGCGTGGACCTTTTCACGTGTGAAGATAACATGCTATTTTCCCGTGTGAAGATATCATGTTTTCGCCCGAAAGTTCACCTGGTATTTTATTAGTGTTCACAAAATAATAAAAAAATACTTTGTTTTTTAGATTCAAGGAGCCATCATGGTTGCGGCCATGTTCCAAATTCTAATCGGCTTTACTGGACTGGTTGGATTTCTGCTCCGTTTTGTTGGACCACTAACTATAGCTCCCACCATCACATTGGTGGGTCTTGCACTCTTCCAGGCCTCAGCAGACTTCTCAGGTATAAAAACAATCTGACGTCTGTCGTAACTTCTTTCCTTAGTAGCAATACCGTATTTAATCGATTAAACGACGCGACGTTTATTATACTTTTAGCGTTTCTGGTGCGGGGTTTATAAATCACTGATAACAATTTCGATAAATCTTCTGCATAAATATTATTATGTTGTTTTATGCTGAGATAGTAATTTCGTAATCGTAATATAATCGACCGAGATTTTTTTCTTACAATCCCGGAATAAACGCCGCATTCTTTTGAATGGGTAGGGAGTTTATACGAGGGCAGCGTTTTGGTAATTTTACTCCCATCTGCTGCGGCTAATCCACCAAATACGGTACAACCCAGTGCAGGGGGCGGAGGTTGGGGTTAACCTGCGCGCGCGGCTCGCTTTGCTCGCCCAAATAGGAGAGCTTGCTCGTAGGTTAGGGTGGGGTGGGGTGGGGTACTCTTCGCACATTTGGGTTGAGGTCGTCAGGCTGTGTGACATGCTTCCTGAAATCAGACGAAAAAACATGTAATCTTCCTTAACCTATTTCAGACCTGAATAACTTTTCTCAAAAAGTATAGCCAACTCCAGACAGTGAAGTTCCAAAGAGCATGCAGTTTACTCTAGGATAGGGTATATAAATCAGAGCGTTTGGGTCTAGAATAGGGTATCATTTTTCAGGAAACTGATCAGTTGGTTGAAGATTTTATCTAGACTGGGGAAACAGCTACTCTAGGATAGGGTGATTTTGGGAGTTTACTCTAGTATAGGGTAGCAAAATTCAGCTGAACTAGCTCTGGTATAGGTCAAGGGTTCCAGGGTCCTCGCGGCACATCCCCACCCAGAAATTCCCAAAGTACCCCCCCCCCCAGGGGGTAATTTTCAAAATGGTCGTCCAGATAAAGGATTTGTGTGGGAATTCAGACAATAGATTCGAGAAATAAATAATCGCAGTTATTTTCAATGAAACACGCTTTAACTTATTTACTTGGTGTGTTCCTGCTTCCTGTGTGGTTATTTTGCCCATCGGTTGCGATTTAAGCGATTTCCTTTATCCCGAGTTTACACTAGAGGAAATAGCTTAAATCGCAACGGATCGGGAAAAAACCCACACAGGAAGCAGGAACACACCCAGTAAATAAGTACTGTCATTTGTTGTGGCTAAGAAAATCGATTTCAAACTCTTCGATTTGACTGCTATAATTTTTCTCTGTTCCACAGGAGGAAACAAATGCAAGGCGTAAAAACGCCTTGGGACTTTCTTATGTCATTGATGAATGCCCACCATGGTATCTCAGTATTGTCCTGGGATTTCAGGTAACCTCGCCGGTACATAAGCATCTAAAACCAATCGAGACACGACACATCACCACGTCATGGCCATATCTTACGCATGCGCACAGCTATACGACCATCCCTTCTCGTTCCCAAACCCCTTGTTGCCTTTAGCTGGTAAGGAGCCGTTCCTTATCTGGTGGAGCGGGCAAGAGACCGTTGATGCTGATCAGAAGGATCGCAACATCTGGGATCGAGATAAGAGATGTGTCGTATCTCCGTCCGTCTCCTGAATCTCGCCGCCTTGACAACGGCGTGCATGAGTCCACACCGAGTTAAAATTACAAAAACATACAGAAGTTTTATTTATCTATTTTGCAACGGTTTTTCTTCGAGTTTATCGCTTTCATTCGCAGGAAATCGAAATTTGTATAGGTAATAGCATGATTTGTAGTGATTTTTGGCATTTATACCACGAGTGATATTTCGAAATTGTTATACGAAATTTCACGAGCCGTTAGGGATCATTAGGCGAGTGAAATTTGAGACAAGTTTAAAATATCACGAGTGGTACTTATGCCAAATACCACGTACAAATCATGATTAGTTGGTAATACTACTACCTGCAAAAGGTTTGTAATATTCACATGTAGGTATTTCAAATTAAGCTGAAATACCACTGCTCTAAGCCAATCAAATTGCAGAAAATTTCTCATGAAGTAGTTTAATACGTGTAATTGTAACGTTCAACTGCACTTGTGAGTCTTTATAGAATGCCTCGTGAATGTTATGGTGTGCCGCCGTTCGCCGCAACACGTAGTGTTATTAAAGACAAAAGAAAATTAACTTGCTAGCAAGCCCTCCATTTGGAAGAGTCTCGAGAAATCACGCGAGAGCAGCACGCGAAACGAGATGCTTCGCCACTCGCACGCGCGTTCTTTCCCGGATCGCTTCGTTCGCTATCAACGGAGAGCTGGCTCGCATGCTTATATTAAATTGTTCTTTTTATTTTTTTTAGCATTACTTAACCATGTTTGGTTCAACGCTGGCCATTCCTCTTGTATTAGCAAAGCCAATGTGTTACGATCAGAATCCTCTGGCCACCAGTGAGATAATCAGTACTATATTCTTTGTTTCTGGCCTCTGTACTCTTTTGCAAACAATCTTCGGAAACAGGTAGGAGGTATCATAGAACAGCTTGTCGATGTTTTCTTTGTTGTTGTTGTTGTTTTTGATTGCGTTATTTTAGTGTCGATTTCCGCCGTTCTCTCAGGCTCGGTCGTGCTCCTACACGAGAAAAGAGAGGGGAGGAGCGAGACTGAGCTCATTTTTCGAGAATTAAAGTAACAATGTGACAAATGTATAAGAAATAAATCGCTTCCATCCACAGTTTGCCATTATCGTCATTAAGCTGAAAAATTCCTCATTTAGGGCCTGTTTACATGGAGGTGAGAGGCCCTAGATAGGTGAAGTAATATTGGCGGGTCACCCCACCTATCATGTAAACGTGATCAAATTAAAATGAGAGATTATATGAACAGGCGGGTTACCTCAAATACCTGGGGTCCTCCACCTTCATGTAAACAGGCCCTTAATATTGTCTAGAATAAAGAAAATTCACCGTGATTTGTTGCACTTGCAAATTTTATCACTTGTTTGACCCTGAGAAAACACATGACATAGCTTTTATCCCATCAGTCATTAAGCGCATGCAAAGATGGCAAGTATCGTGAATAAGGCTAATGAATGTACATCGCTTAGTAGCTCCTCTTATCCTAAAAAAATATGAAAGTTGTTATGTAAGTACAAGAACACAAAGGTCTCTTGTAGCCTGCGAGCAAGCTCTCCCGGGGCGCTCTGGCGGCAAGGCGGGAAAAGGAAGGAAAGCTTACAACTACGTCTCTGGAATTTGAATATCTGCATCGAAAAAGTCGATGCGAAATGCCGATTGGCGGAGATGACATTAGTAATGACGTCATTACCCTTGCCACGTGTTTTTCAATGTTTGTTCACATTCGCGCTGGTTTCTGCCTTCGCGCTGATTGGCGGAAATCTGAAAGCTCAGTCGACGGGGAGCCACAGGGGGATTGGAGGTGGAATTCAAATTCCAGGAACGTAGTTGCAAGCTCTCCTTCATTTTCCCCTCCCCCCGCCAGAGCCCCCCGGAGAGCTTGCTCCCAGGCTAGTTCTCTTGGTAAGCGAGACACTTTTGAGGCTTAAAAGTCCTTCATCTCTAGGTCATCGTTTTTGCTGATTTGCATCTCTCAATTGCCCCCAACCTCTTAGCGGGGGGAAAAATTCTAAGACTATACAACTCGTGTGAGACCTTAAGTTCACTTACAATTTGAGAAACCATAAGGTTTTTATCACTTGCCGTTTCTAACTGCAAGTAGAGGGAAAGGCTCCTTGATTTTAAATAAACCGAAATCGCCATTCATTAAGTCAATTTTTTTTTGAATTTCATTATTACAATCTTATGTTCAAACTCTCTTGCCTCACTCAGGCTTCCCATCGTGCAAGGCGGCACCTTCTCGTTCCTTACTCCAACCATTGCTATTCTCAGTCTTCCTAAATGGCAATGCCCATCATCCTCTGCACCGACAATGGCACCAACAGGTAACATACGCATATACTGATCCAAGATTTGTTATTACGAAATGTGAACAAAGGATAGAAATGCTTCTAAAGCGCAAACTACCTGATCTGAAGCAAGCAAGGGTCTTTATTTTATTTTAGCAGCTTTTATGAACACAGACCTGCCCAGAGGGAATGGGCAAGAAGGGAACTCATGTCCCATTCGAGGTGCCATCCCTACTCAATCCCACAACAGGGTTGACCACACCACCGGGGTCTACGTCCCCTACTCTTTTCGAACAGTGGTGTGGGTTCTTTTATGTCCCACGAGAACAGATTATTGAAAGTGCTGTGAGACGGGACCTACGGTCTCTCGTCCTTATCTCGAGGAGAGAGAAAAATGACCCGACGGACTTCCTATCACGCATGCTCTGTCGTTTCTTTAACAACCAGTTGCGTGTAAGTCACGTGCGTCAGAACGTACAAAACCTCTGTTCGCAATAAAAATGTGAGCCTAGAAATTTCCTCTGTATAGTCTTTACAGGGGCATACAAGATTCCGATTAACGTTGATGTTGTCAGAATATAATCGTGAGGCAAAGTGTTGCTTATGACGGAAATTTACAGTTAAGATGATGACGATGCTAGCGCTTGGGACGACGGTGATCAACCATATTATTTATAGAGATTTGGAGTCTCGTTTACGGCAAACGGCAGACGGCAAACGTGAATTTGTGCCTTATGACCAAGTTAAGGTTTCCCCTTATTTGTCAAAAAACACGTAAGTAGTTCGACGTCGTTTTCAGCCATTAGAATTGTTATAGACTGTTTTTGTCTGCTCATTTTCTATTTTGAGAAATTCTCAAATTGAGTCTGACGTTTGCCGTAAACGCTACTCTAAATCTCTCTAATTACGGCATTTTTGTGGCGATGACAGAGACCAAAACGCTGAAGTTGATGTTATTATTATTATTATTGTTATATTTTTCAGATGCAAACGTGTCCACTAACCTGCCAACAACTGTCTTCACTGATGCATGGAAACCACGAATGAGAGAGGTAATTGCATCTTGTAATGTTCATTTTACAACTGAATTGGTTACTGAACGGCACATCCGGGGATATATAACAGAACCGTCCAATGAGGCCTTTGCATTTGCAGTTGATCAGTCACGTGGTACGA